GTCTTCTACAGAATAAGATGATTCTTGACTATCTATAGAGCATTGTTTCTTGACTATAGCAACTTGACGGTGTGTGGACTTCCAACTCCCAGAATTCCATAGCCAGCAGGCCAAGGCTGAGAAATGCTGCTATTGAAGTCATACAAAGCCTGAGAAAACTATGTGCCATTGAACAAACTGCTGCTTTTCAGCATTACTTACAGAAGGACTTTAGCCTGTTGTGAGAGTAAAATCCCTAGCATCGTATCAAGCTTCAAAAAGAAAAAATATTGTCTCAATTATATGCAACACCTGATCAAACTGTTTGCTAAAATGTAGGCAGCTATAACATTCAGCACAAATGCTATTTTTAATTCTGCACTCTTAGCTTCTTGCAGTTAACTAATCCTCCCCATATTTTTGGCCTTCAGAAATCATGACAAATAGGTTTAGATATGTAAATTGTTGTCCCAACACTTATCCACTCAGTTTTCTTACACATTAAGAAGCATCTGTTTCTCAAAGTTAACATCTAGTTTTAGCAAATTATAACTTCATTTTTGTATGACTAATACAGAAAAGACATGGTTACAGAGTATGTTCACTGAACATACTGGGTTTACAACTAAGTAAAGATCAATACCTGCATTTTTAGAAACACTAGATAAAATGTTTAAGGAAAATGAATATTAATTTCAAGTCAATAGGTTTAGTATTAGATTATAACAAACATCTACTGAGTCTCTGATGCATAATTAGGTGGTAAAAAGAACACCCCTAGACACAAAGAAATATTTCTAGTTTAATTTGCACATAAACAAATACTGCAAATACCGTGAAGAACAAATAGAAAGGTATAGTAGTAGTAGTAGTAGTAGTAGTAGTAGTAGTAGTAGTAGTAATGATGATGATGTTGGAAGGGACCTGCTCAGGCAGGAAACCCTATTCCATTTCAGACACATGGATGTCCAGTCTCTTCTTAAAAACTTCCAGTGTTGGAGCATTCACCACTTCTGGAGGCAGGTTGTTCCACTGGTTGATTGTTCTAACTGTCAGGAAGTTTCTCCTTAGTTCTAGGTTGCTTCTCTCCTTGATAAATTTCCATCTGTTGCTTCTTGTCCTGCCTTCAGGCGCTTTGGAGAATAGCTTGACTCCCTTTGTGGCAGCTCCTGAGATATTGGAACACTGCTATCATGTCCCCCCTCATCCTTCTCTTCGTTAAATTAGACATACCCAATTCCAGCAACCGTTCCTTATATGTTTTAGCCTCCAGTCCCCTAATCATCTTTGTTGCTCTTCTCTGTACTCTTTCTAGAGTCTCAACATCTTTTTACATCGTGGTGACCAAAACGGGATGCAGTATTCCAAGTGTGGCCTTACCAAGGCATTGTAAAGTAGTATTAATAATATTATTTTTTCAACTTTTCCTTATATATTCAAAGTACTGCAGCTAAAATGTGGATTGTCACAGATAAATTCAAATCTCAAGCTGTACATAAAATTAGAAAGGTTCAGGCTTGTGGAAAAAATACTTCTTTTATGTTGAAATATCTGGATTAATTTTTCTCATCACTGACTGTTCAGTGACTTCTTAATGTGTTACTGTAAATGTCCTTTAAGACAGAATATTAATGTTCATAACATGCTTTCAGCATCAAATTATCTTCAATATACCCTGCTGATGTTGCGTAAAGTTAATATGCTGTTTTCACCAAGGCTGTTTACACTCACTTCTGGAAAGAGTAAGAACATTAACACAAAATACTTTCTTAGCACACCAGAAATAAGAGATCTTCAGCTGACCTAGATTTGGATGCCTATAATAAGGACCCATTTTCAAATTTTCATATGCATTCTCATTAATTACCCAATACCATAATTTCTTTCTATTGCATTTTCTTTCTGGGGTTTCAATATATATTTCTTGATGCAGAATTTCTTCTTCTTTGTTGTGAGATCATTTATATATATAAATTTTATTTATAATATAGTTAAAAAGAAACAAACATTGGATTTAACATGACATTCCAGTATATACATTCTTATGAGATTATTCCACTTTTTACAATCAATTCTTCATCTCTACATATACATCTAAGTTTTCTATACAATACTTATTCTAAAATAACATATATTTCTGTCTTAACATTCATCTTTAATCCCAACTGTCCTCTTCAAATTCCTCCAGCAGTAAAATTTATCCCAGGTTTCATAATAAACTGATCCACATTTGTCTTTTAATATCATTGTGAGCCTGTCCATTTCCACAGATGCTAATATTTTATATATTAACTCTTCCTCTGTGGGAATTTCCTTGCTCTTCCATTTTTGCGCAAAAGCAAGCCTAACTGCAGTCAGGATGTGTAGTAGCAGGTAGATTGTTCCCTTGTCGTATTTTTCTGTCGTTATTCCCAACAAGAAGAGTTCAGGTTTTAACTAAGTCCAGTGTTAATATATCCCTCAACCAGTTTCGTGTCCTGTTCCAATACTCACGAGTCTTTGGGCATTCCCACCACATATGGTAATATGATCCTATTGATGTTTTACATTTGCAGCATAGGGGTGAGATGTTTGAACCCATTTTGGCTAGCTTTACGGGTGGGAAATGCCATCTATGAAACATCTTGTAAAGATTTTCCTTATATGAGGTAGCTAAGGTGAGTTTCCTATTTCTTTCCCACAGTTCTTGTCAAATATGCAGGTCGATACTGAAACCAAAATCCCTACTCCAAAATAACATGGTCTCCTTAACCTGTTCTTCATACATTGTCTGATCTAAAAGAAAATGATATATTTTTTTAATCATTTTATCCTCGGGACCTAATAAAATTTTATCTAGTTCTGTCGGTTCTATCTTTATACCCCACTCTTTTTTATCTTGCCTATATCTTGCTTGTAGTTGGAGGTATGCCCACCATTCTAATTCTATCCCTGCAGTTGAGAGATCACTCTTGACCTTATCTTTGTGCCATCAGCTGAAAAACATGGATAATTTATGCATCCTTGTTGATATGAAAGCTGCAGGACAGTTTCAGGATGAAGAATGTATTTTGTAAATAAATATCTGATGCATCATACTTACCTTTTTGGAGAAATTACCTAAAATTGTTACTGTCATCTATTAGCTTTTTGTTTTTACTACACAATAAATATGGCCAACTTGATAGAACAAGTAAAAGGCCAATCCACAGTTTTATGACTGGGTTGTCCTTGGTCCATCTAAAATGGAAACCCAATGATGATTCATAGTGCCTTCTAGAGGCATCCAAGTCTCACTGTGCTGATATAACAATTTGAACAGAGGCAGGCTGACTGATGCTATAAATCACTAAAGGAGAACTAGAGGGAAGGTTTTAAATTATTGTTAGAAAGAATACCACTGCCGTTTTGTTTATGTTTCAATTATTATCCTAGAGTTTGGCTGAACTCCCAACATGACTTGAAGGAAAGCATTTTCAAGCCTATATGGAACTTGTGAAATGAACCATAATCCTTTAATTCAAACTGAACTGGAAAGCTTTGTAAGTGATTTTGATGTTTCCTAGCACTAAAGAACAGCAAAGGTATCTGCAGAAATTGCTGCTGTGGGGTTTCTCAAGTAAAGAGAATCCAAAATGTGTTTGTTGCATTCTTTACACTATCAGGGCCGTACATTGGAGGAGGAAAGAAAAAAGTTTGCATATTGATGAGAGGGGTCCTTACTGATTTGCACTTCTTTCAAAATGTTGGGATTGTCATCTCTTCTGGTATCACAAACTGATTATTACCCAACAATTATGCAGCTGCATAAAAAATGTGATTCTAATCTATATTACAGAACTACACTGTATATTCCTCTCTATTTTGATGCAATCAGATCGCTATTACAATCTTTTGTCCAGTTCATTTTTTTAGAGCAACAAAAATGATAAGAAGGAAGGAAAAGTCTGTGAGAAGCAGTTAGAAGTATTGGATATAGTTTGGCTTGTAGAAGAGTAGTGGGAGACATAATAGATCAAGGGCTGTCATATAAAAATTGGGGAAGAAGCAATGGGTTTAAATTCTTATTCCAGTTGGACATCGGGAAAAATCCTAGCATTAGAAAAGACTATTTTGGAAAAGATTATCTATTGCTCTAAAATGGAAGTTTGGTGGCCACCAGTTGGGGATGCTATAAAAATAGATTCCTGCCTTCCTAGATGAACTCCAAGATCTCCTCCATTCTTTACATTCTAAGAAATACTACATAAACTTAAACATTGCCCTGCTCTGTTTTAAAATTAACCAGCATTGATCTCATTAACAGGTAATTCTATAAAATTTTGTTACCTCCCACAAAACTAGTTTAATCTTGTGCAGCTTGGAGATTACAGAATGGATACCTCCCATGACCTGCTTTTATACATGACCAAGCCTAGTCTAAAATTGCCTGAAATTGTTCCTACACTCAAAAACCTATATTTCTACTTTGGTATCTAGCAAGGAAGCTAAAATAAGCCTTAATTCCAAAGCAGTAAGAAATGTGTGTCTCATTTGATGTATTGTTGTTATTAACAATTATATAGTATAGTTATCTTGACCAAGATCTCAACAGTGTTCTTTTTAATCAAATGTTTGGGCCTTAAAAATGTGAAGTTTTACATATTCCTAGTGCAGAGAACCATGGAGTTAAATTTCAGATGAGCCACTCCAGAGCTCCACTTCTCTATCTTGTCAAGAGCTTCTCTGGTCCACCTTGGGACAATCACTTTCTCCTCATGCTATTTCACAACACAGGTGAAATAAAATGGGTGCTGGGTAGAGCTCTCCTATGTTTTTTCTACCGTTCCTACTCATTACATAAAGGAGAATTTCATTTAGAAAATATTTAAAAGAAATCCCTAGGGATGAAGAACGAGGTTCCTGCACTATTTAATTATAGTACAAAGGAGTATTATGAAAACAGATGTGAACAAACCAAATGATTTGCATCAGAGAAATAAGAATATGTGAAGATTAAGGGTAGAAATGTTACGCATTTCCTCTGTAAAATTAAGTAAATTAGTTGTTTATTGATGACACTTGCATCATTAACATTTTGAATGTAAAAATACAGTCAATCTTCTTCAACCCTCCGATATGTGGATTTCACATCCAGAATTTTCAGCAATGGTTATGGAGTCCTGGTATTAGAGAGTATCCAAGATTAGTGCAGCTAATATGTCCCTAATGAGTGAACATCTGTAAGAAGATAGTGTTCCCCAACATTAACTATTCTGGAAGCAGGGACCTTTTGGCAGAGACTGTAATCAATTTTAACACAAGTATATTAACTTAAAATTGAGACAAAAAGCTATTCATCAGCCCTTGTTTTCCTGAATATTTGCTCCTGCACACACACACACATACACACACACACATCTTGAAACATCTGTCAAATCTTATTCATCTCTCTCAGTGTTCATTTTCCAACAACACTGCACAGAGGTGAACAACCAAGTGCCATGGACTAAATGCAGCAACTCTGCTAAAAAATCACACTAGCAAAGGTTGGTATCCAATTACTGAAAATGGAGGCATGACTTCCCATGAAATTTTGCTGAAAAGAAAAGAAAAAGAACAGTGAGTCATTGGAAAAACTTAACTCATCCAAAATAAGAAAAGTACTGCCTGTTTGCATGATGTCACAATGTTACTGCCCCACCCACTAAACACCATGGCTACTGGAAAATGTAACAAAAACATTCAGGACACAGCCAATGAAAAGTTGTCAGGTCCACTAGTAGCATTATGGCATAACTTGCATCAATATTGATACATATGAAGAATTGCATTTTTGCAATTCTTAAAGTAGAGATTATATGAATGATTAGCAAAGAAGAATTAATGCGGAAAATGTGTGTTTTTTGGTAAAGTGGTGAAATGACCACACATGGAGAAATTTGTACAGATTTGAATATATCTGTACAAAGTTCCACTGAAACCAATCTTAGAAGTATATCAAATTCTTATTTATCTTTAGGAAGAAAAGCCAAAGCTTTAATTTTCCATGTATTTAGACCACAGAGAATATATTCATTAATTTAAGTCAAGATACACTGAAAGAATAAGGTGGTCTTTTTCTGTCCAAGGGACAAGACTGGATTATTCATTGGACACAATGACATAATGCCCAGATCTTAAGAAACTCTCAAAGGTCAGTAAAAATGTTTTAGCCACCTAATCTGAAAGCTGATTCAAAAAAGAGGTAAGAGAAGGCTTAAATAATAAGGATATGCAGATGTATATCTCTGTATACATATATATGTTTACATACATAGATACATATATAAAACTATATGCCTTTGTTTATTAATGGATTAGGGATCTATATAGTAAATGCAAATATATCTGTAACTTTGTTCTCAGATCATGCATCCACAAGATATACCCAGGCCTATAAAGTTTTAAAGGGATGCAATAAAAAACAAAAACAAGGATGCAAAACGTACTTATAATGTTAAGAAAGCTGTCATGGTGATCCAAGTCCAACATAGGATTTAAAACAACAGAGAAAATGAAAATCAGAACAAATTTAAAGAAGAATCAAAAAGCAAACTAAACTTCAGGCCTTTACATAAGCAGAAGGAATAGTAACTAATATATCTAACATGATTTGTATCACTTGCGTTCTGCCCAAGTCTTTTATGCAGAGGCACCATAGCTGGTGCTTTTTACCTCTTAGTGATCCACTTGAGCAATCCCTTTACTTTTGAGGAGCCCAGGCTTGTTGCTTGTACGTACTTTCATGCCATTCAGTGCATTGGTCTCCCACTGAGCAATGACACCATCGTCACAGACTTGGAGGCTACAGCATGTTGCAGGTTCTGATGCTTAGATCGGATCTTTCCAGCCAGAGATCCCTTGGTGAGACAGTGTTCTCCTCCGTTGCCTCTTCTTATCCTCTGGAAGGATTTTGTCAGGTTTAGTCTTTTCCAACTCTGCAACCTGTCAGCCAGACTATTTTAGGACAAAGGTTTACCTGTGTCAAAAAAACAGCCTGATGAGTCACATGTATGAACTACTGTCTCCTGTTATTAAGGCAATTTAGTGGGGTGAAACACGTCATTCCAAGCACCCACCCATCTTTTTCAGTTAACAGGTAATGCTTGGCCTGAGAGAAACAGCCAGAGCAATCCATTAGTTGCTTTTCTTAATTTTCCCCACACTAAAATAGAAAGGACTGCACCAGCCCAAACATCAAAGCAACAAATTTCATACCATCGTATGTTTAAAGTGCAAGGAGGACAAGTAGCACATTTGATGCAATCAAGGAATTAAAAGTGTTCTGCCTCTCCTTATGCCATCCAATGGGTATCCGGAGTTTTGCAGCCCATGTTTAATAGCATTAATTTTACTTCACTGTGATAGGCAGTAGATTTTAGGAAGCCCTTTCAATATTAGTGTATCTGCTAAAGACCGCATTTCACAAAGAATTTCTGAAAAGAATAAAAAGAGTGTGTGCTAATGGGAAGTGCTTATAATTGTTCCCCAAAGTACATTTCTTCCAGGACATCCCAATTCTTTTTCCCTTGTGCATTAGCAAGGTAACAGGGTAATTGGAAAAACTTTATTTTGAGGAAACTATTTTGCTATTATGGGCCTTTTTGCATATAACTCTAGGAATTCCCAAAATATGGTCTGAAAAGTCTCCTTTACATACATTAATTAGCAGATGTATCTGCTTTGTCTAAATTATGTGTCATACGTAGAGAGATTCAGAGTAGCAAGAGCACCACAGAGCTGAAAAACACCACATTAAGAAACTAACACGTTCATATTTTTTTCATGATAGTTTTGCATCCCATCCATTACCAGAATAGGTTCCTGAGTTAATTGCATGCAGATAGTGGTACCTGAAATACTAAACCAGGATTGGCAAGAATCAGATCCACATCCAGAATCAGTATCTAATCAGCCATGACATTAGACTCACTAGGTAAATCTATGAATTCCTCTCTCTATCTCCACCTTTCCATCTCATGGGTTGTTGTAAGGAAAAATCATACATGCCCAGATTCATACAATATATTCAATCGGGCTAAAGTAGGGCTGAATAATGCATTACTCAGAGTGTTGTGTAAACTAAGCAATCAATTTAGCTCTTCAGGTGTATCAGGCCATTTTATGAAGTCATACTACAGTTTATTGACTTGGACATAGCATGTTATGAAAATGTAGCAATTGTGTTCTATTAATGAACACACTTGACTGTTAACAGGGATTAGCTATGGAGGAGAAAGGCACATACATTCCCTTCAGCATTTGCTGAAGAAAATATGAGACAAAATTAAATAAGCTACCACAATTGAAATGTCAGATCTGTTTACCTAATCTATGCTTACACTATTGGTGTATTTCATGCATATGTATTATCAAAGCAGTGCACAATAATAAAACAAATTAAAATAAGTATAAATGTTTAACAGTATTATCAGATTGAAAGAGATCTAGCAAAATGAACAGGTATAATCACATAATAAGAAACAAGAAAAATACCATTCAAAAGGTATACAGAATCTATTCTGAATAAGTGTATCACCTGATTTTAAAGGAGGAATAATTCTGTATTTCCACGTCAGACATAATCATACAATGATCTCTCTCAAAAGATAATTGATAGATTGTGCAAACTAAAAGGGCTGGAAAGTCCCACTACATTCATTAACAAGAAACTTTCATATTCAGCTTGGGGTTTTTTTCAACTTCCTGTTGAACTGACTCACAAGCTCTCCTTGTATGCAACAAGACATTTACTTTTCTTCACCTTTTTATGGTAGGACTCAGCATTTGTATTAATAGTAAGAAATGGTGCATCTTCCATCACTTCCAAGATCCTGCAGACAACACCAAGCTAGGAGAAGGAGTCAACATTTTAGAAGATCCAGAAAGAACTTGACAGACTTGAACACTGGGCCCTATCCTACAAAATGCAATTCGATGGAAAGAAAAGTAAGGTTTTACACTTAGGCAAGAAAAAAAAAATGTATAGGTACAGATTAGATGAAACTTGGCTCAATAGCAATAACTGTGAAAGAGGTCTTGGAGTCCTAGAGACAACCACTTAAGTATGAGCCAGCAGTGTGCTGCAGCTGCCAAAAAAGCCAATGCTTTCCTAGGCTGCACCAACAGAGGAATATTATCAAGATCATGTGAAGTATTAGTACCACTATATGCTGCCTTGGTAATATCACACTTGGAATGCCACATCCAGTTCTGATCACCATGATACAAAAAAGATGTTGAGATGCTGGAAAGAGTACAGAGAAGAGCAACAAAAATGATTGAGGGGCTGATTGTAGGAACTGGGTATGTCTAGTCTGAAAAAGGGAAGGACTGGGGGAGGGGGTGACATGATAGCAGTCTTCCAATATTTAAAACGCTGTCATAGAGAAGAGGGGGACAATCTGTTCTCCAAAGGATCTGAAGGCAGGACAAGAAGCATCCTAGAACTAAGGAGAAATTTCCTGACAATGAGAACAATTAATCAGTGGAATAGCATGCCTTCAGAAGTTGTGAGGTTTTTAAGAAGAGATTGGACAGCCATTTGTCTGGAATAGCATAGGGTCTCCTGCTTGGAAAGGGGATTGGACTAGAAAATCTCCAAGGTCCCTTCCAACTTTATTATTCTGTATTCTGTAACTGATCCTCTGAATAAGCTTTTGGGTTCAGAAAGTGGATTTTAATGATTTTATCATGTGGGAAAAACTATAGAACTTATCTACCAAATTCAGTTGTTGAGCAATGTTTATTACAGCCAGATTAAATACCATTAAATGATACAAGTTGTTCATGTCCTTCATATCTCTTTGTTAAGGAATTTTTTTTAATTTAGACTTAAGCTATAAATGAGGAGGGTTGTGTGCTGTTAAAATTGTGCCTTTACTAAGAATAATCCAACAATGATTTCATGCATATACAGGAAGACTGGGCTGATCCTTTTAATGATAGTTTGTCTATATAAGGATGTGGCTTTAACATTTAGACAAATTTACATGCCAGATGACGAAACTTCCCAGGTTGCAGAACACTTTTATCAGAAACGTTTTCCAAGAAGCAAACCACATAGGAGGTTTACAGCCTCCTTTGTAAACTATTGCAGATTATGTTGTCATTTCTATGTGCAGACTCCAAATCCTTATATCTTATATATTAAAATATTTCTCCTAGCAGGGGAAGCAAAAGCAAACATTTGTTTATCTTAGATTTAATTCCTAGCTTTTTGAAATAGACAAGTTAACCTATACTGAGGCATTCTAGTCCTCATGCATTTATTCATGCAATTCGTATTCTCATCCACTGCCTTCTACAACCTTGAAAAACAACAATTTGAAATATCCTTTTAAATAATCTGTTTTAAATGCATAGAGTCCCTACAAAATTTAGACCATCAAACTCTATGCTAGCCTTTATTTTGCCACAGTGCTGGTGAAGATGGATGTCAGCATGATAACATTTTAGTACAACTAATGATTCCTAAAATGGGAATCACTTGTTCTCAGAGATGAGGGCAATGTCACACCTGGTCCAGGAAGTGCATGCCCCACCATGAAGCAAACAAGTCCAAATATCCAACTGTGCAGCCACCATGGAGATTTTTTTCTTCCCCCTTGATGATGGAAGGACAAGCAGTTGCATTCTTCTTTCCTGTCCTGTGCTTCCCTTTTGAGAAGAAATCCAAGCCATTATTCCCTGCCTTCCAAATGCATGGTTTAAAAGCAGCAGAGGTAAGAACAGGCTGATTCAGCAGTCATGTTTAGCCCCTTCTGTGATAAGGCTTGGTGGTCGGAACTTGTCTTCCTGGGTCAAGCTTTTCTTAAATTAGGGAATATGTGGTTATTAAGTTATTATAAGAGCCAGCTTGGTGTAGTGTTTAAGGCACCAGGCAAGAAACTAGGAGTTCTAACCCTGCATTGGACACAAAGCCAACTAGGTGTCCTTAGGCCAGTCACTCTCTCTCAGTTCTAGGAAGCAGACAATGGCAAACCACTTCTTAAAACCTTGCCAAGAAAACTGCAAGGGATTTGTCTAGACAATCACCAGGAGTCAACACTGACACAAAGGCACCTTCTCAAATGTTATTGTAAGTCCCCAAATAAACCAAGTGTTCCAATTGCTGTCTTAATTTAGATATCAGACCATGGACTTTATTATTGTGGTAATTAGGCATACAAATCCATCTTCAACTGACTGCTGAGACTGTTTTCCCATTTAAAAATATATTCATTAAAAACAATGGCCTCTTTTAGTGCTATCCAGTATTAGTGTAAAATGAAAATTTGTTACTGGTAGAAAAATGATGCTGTGCATAACACTATAAGCCATTTTTTTTTTCTCCCTAGGAAAATAAAATCTATTTGCAGAAAGCTTTGAAACCTTTTATTTTTAATATGAGAAAAACATTTTAGAACAGCATCACGTTTGCAGCTGCAAACTTTTGTCCTGGGGCTACGTGAATTTAACTAAAGCCTGCTTAAATAATCCAGTTTTCTGCAGTTCGACTGAATCATAAACTACCGGATGTCAGTCTAGACTAAAATGGTGAATTTGTTTTGCTCGACTGGCTGTTGTGGGAACACAGCTGCTATGTGGACAGGGTAGCTTTAATTACCAGCCTAGTTATCAGATGCAGGGGTATCTATATATATTCAGAAACATGTCCTGGGCAAGCATTAATGGAATTAAACGGATCCTGAAGACAGCAAAGGAGGTGTGATATGAACGAGTCTAGTGCCCAAATGTAATCTTGGAGGCGGTTCCCATGAGCAGAATTCTGCCTCGACGCGGGTACAATTCCCGCCCCAGCGCATCTCGTCCAGTACCAGTTAAGACAAAAGAAAAAGCTGGGCATTTCTCGGCACCCTCGAGCCTTTCTTACGTTAGGAGACGAGTCCCGGTGAAGTCTCCGTTGGGAGCGGAAGGTCAAAGGTCCCTAAACAACCGCAGCTCCGCTCCGCCTCCTCCTCCGCCCCTGCGCCCTCCCCGGCTGGAAAGCGGCAAAGGGCTAAAGGCGCTTGCCGCGGCTTCTGGGCGAGAGGGACAGTCGGCGTTGTTGTCCGCTGCTGCCCAAGGAGGAAGCGAGCACGCGAGGAAGAGCCGCTGCTGCCATGGGGCGAGTGCAAGGAGGGATGCGCTGCGTCAAGTTCCTGCTCTTTCTTTTCAACTTCATCTTCTGGGTCAGTGCGGGGCCGGAAGAGCAGAAGGCGAAGCTCGGGGGCTAAGGGTTAAGGGGTGTGGGGGATCAGGGTGCCAGTTCAGTGTGTGCATGTGTATACGTGCATGTGCGCGCTGTTGAGCAGGAACTGTGGTGTTGTTCAGAGAGATGACCTCGTGGCAGGCTCTTCCTCCGCCTGGGGCGGCGACTGATCGGGCTTACTTGTACGGTGCTGTCCGCTATGCAAGTACCTCGCGCCGTCCCAATCCGCGAATTCCCGCTGCTCTTTTCAGCCGAGCATCCTTTCCCACGCGAGAGTCTCGCGGCGTCGCGACTTTGGGTTGTAATTCGAAATAAGAAAAACAAAGGCGAGCGATGTTGGAACCTGGGGGCTCGGCAGGGAATCAATGAAAGGACATGTGTGCATCGGGAAAAGCAGGCGTGTTTTCATGCTGTAACCCCACTTCTGTAGTCTCTGTCTCTCTGCAGTAGTTGTTGCACATGCAAATTAGAGGGTTGTGCCTTTGTATAGGATGGACTGAGGTGTGCGGTGGCCTTCCTCAGAAGCTAGCAACAGCGGGGATCCCACAGTATCACGTGTAATGCCAAAAGCCACATTGCCTTGTATAATATTTCCCATTTTCCAGAGCCAGGCAGGGAGAGGCTGCCTACAATGCTGGACGCAGTTCAGAAGAAGGGACTGCCAAGAATCTGGGTGCATTAACAATAATTTCATCTCCGTAGCCCTCTAGGGCATATAGATCAGCTTGTCAAGACTTCCCAACACCTACCCAATAATGGTGTGACCCCAAAATACTGGAATAGAGGATTCCTCTTCCTGTTATCTGAAGTTGGTCAAAAGCCACTTTTACAAGTTTTAAATAGAAATGTTGTATCTAAGTGTTCCTCAAAACACTGCAAAAAAGCCAAGCTACAATATATCAGCTTGGTGATTCTTTGTGTGGGCTGCTTTACCCTTAAATAATGCTAACACAGACTGATAACTTTACTTTAAGATAGTGCTAGATGGGGATGATGGGAATTATAGTTTAAAACTTCAGGGGTGGGCAGATGTGGAAAGCTGCTATAGTACACAATCATTTATTGAAAGTTTGGGCATGAAAGATTTTAGTTTGCCTTTTATTACAATACTTTCTTGCCCAAAATATCTCTGTTAAACAAGAATATATTTGAGGGGTCAAAAAAGTCAAAATGGCAGCCACAACTGCACAGAGTTATGGAGCTTTGATCATGTGGCCACCATCATGACTGTTTAACCCACCCATATTAGCTAAAATTTCTGCATTTTTAAACTGAACTTTTAGATTATTTTTTGTAGTATTTTTTAATTATTATTTTTAACTGAAGAAGGCTTCTGATGTCAAAGAAGAGAATAAGCATGGAAGGCTCTTTCCTTGACTGGCATCAATTAGTTATCTTTATTCAGCCCCAGATAACATCATTAATTTATAATCTGCAGTCAAGTTCTGTTGTCAATTATTAGCTTTTGGGGATAGCAAGAGTCTTTTTTGAGACTCATATGTCCCATGGACTAATATTCTGCCTCCAGCGTTGTGATCACATTTATGATCTCTTAATTTCAACAGCTCTATTGACAAGAGTGGAGGAATAACCATGAGGCTGAGTTCATTTTAAGCTATATAATTAACATAAGTTTGCTTTTTATCTTGCTAAGTGTTGGAATTAAGCTTCTGAAATTTTCTAGTGAGCATGAAAGAATCCAGTGCTTTGATGTGTCTCAGCCAGACTGTTTCCATTAATAAAAGAATGTCATTTCACTTTTTATCCCCAATTCTGAAGAAACGAACATCACTTTATTTGCTGGTAAATAGCACTCTGTAACTTGTGTATCCATTGATCTTATTTCATACTAACATCAACCTCAGTAGAAAAAAAATCCCTTCACTGAAACTATAGAAAAAACAAAGGAAATAAACAACCCAAATGGGACACATTTGTTAATCCTTGACACTTTTTGCTATCAACATGTTCTAGAGAGCTATGTGGCTTTCTGTGCTTGAAAAGTGCAGCTAATCACCAATCTAAAGAGAAACAAAAACAAACAATTCATAAAGAAGTCATTATATTGAATTTATAAATATGGGTACACATTTGTGGTTACATAAACATGGATCTTATAAATATGCATTTGCCCAGTGTGACTTTTCCATTACATATTTAGATTTGGAGGCACTGATTGTGGCTCTTTGCATCATGTCAGTGATCAATGGAATAAATAGAAATATTATAGGCCAACAGTATATGGTTTTGCATGTCTAATCAAATGTAACCTCTGAATTCAAAGGGACCTTTTCACCACGGCCTTAATATGAACATAAAATCTCTCAAAGCTTGGCATACTATTGCCAATAAATAAACACTCATATCGAGAAAAGTCTGAATTTTGTCACAGGTAAACTAAAACCAATATATGTTTATAACTCCTTTTTTACCCCTTAAAAAGTAGATAATTAGACTAGGATCAACAACAACAAAAAAGCATCCTGAACATATATACAAACCCTTTTTCTAATATCTTTAAGGGGTATACCAAAAGTGATGTATAATTTACATCCAATATTTACATTCATTGCCATTTTCTTCTGTAAATTTGCTTTGATGCATGGCCTTTGAATATTCCTAAAAGTAGGAATATTTCCTCTGAAAAAAAAAACATTGCGATTAACCTATAGGACCTGACCTTTGATATTCTCTATATATTGCATTTGTCTTTCCCTTCTTGAAAATGGGCTTGCAGTGGCCAGGTTAGCTTAGAACTACAATTGCATTGACATCTGAAACAGGAATTATTCAAAGCTCATTTTTACACAGACAGACAGACACACAGGCACCCCAAATCCAAAAAGCTAAACAAAGAGTTGAGTTTGCTCAGCTAATGGTGCCAATTAAGGAATACAGATAATACAGTTTATTCTACTGCAGAGGAGAAAATGTACCAAATCCCAGCACATGACATGTAGAAATCCTGCATGCCATTCCTGGTTGCGGTTCTTTAACAATTTTTTCCATATATTTTGAGCTTACGATCCTACTCAAAAAGCCTAGAAAGCTGAATGTAATATGAATGTAAAGACTTCCAGGGCTCTGGCTGCTATTGTCATGTACAAAATTACATCCTTTGGTCATTGCAGGATTCCTAATAGTTTGTACCATTTTTCTTTTCTCTTTCCTGCTTGATGCACAGACAGTGTTCTCCTTTGACCCCGCCCCCCCTCAAAAGCTTGGCAGTAGCTCTTGCATTCATCCTCTCTCCTGTTCACTAACTGCTCCATTTATCTGATGAAGTGGAATGTCAATCACAAACCCTTACACCATCATCATCCATTTGTTTGTCATCAAGGTACACACGATACCACATTGTTTTTGCTTTCAGAGACAAACATAGCTATCCCTCTGAAAACCCAGGCCTTTCTTTTTTAACAGCTCCTTTGAAATATATGTCTGCAGAGATGAAACATGGGAGTAAAGTAAGGACTTTGGTCATTTCTTTTGTTCTTTGCAAAGACTTGCTGAAAACAAAAAGACTCTGAAGTTCAAGCTGTAGGTGGGATGTGACACCCCATTAAACAAGCACATGGAGAATGACTGCTCAGCTTGATCTTATTACCCCACAGCAGTGTGGACAGGAGAAGAACATGCCTTTGAATCATGGCTGACAATGTGTTACAGTGAGACTGTTGTAATAGCATGGAGAAGAACATTGAGCTATGGAAACAATTAGAAAGTTATTTAATCAGATAACATGGCAGGGGCTAGTAGTTTGAAAATAACAGGTTTTGTTTTTTACTTTGTGCTTTTTTGGAAGCCTTGGTCAAGTAGAGATATTAATACTTTTAGATCAGCTTATTGCCAGTTAAGCTTTTAAATTATCTGGATTAATGTAAGAGGAATTTTAGTTTCCTAAAGTTGCAAAAATGGTAGAATGTGTTTTGGATCATTCTAACTCCACAGTATTTTTTCAAATAAAGTACTGCCAGCATGAGTATTGGTTTTTATTTGCAAGAACTTCAGAATAAAAAGTTGGAATATCACACATTAACCTATCAGTGGGTAAGATTCATTAAATGTTATGCTATTAAAGAGATTAATTTAACAAAAAGTAATTCTTCAATGTTAGAAAAAACTTGAATCACAGTGTTTTCATTATCCTTTTATGAGCCGGATCTCTAATCAGTTAATATTTCATATGGTCAAAGGCTTAATTTTTTTTAAATTGGGATGATTTATTTACTCTATAACCATTTTTATACATTATTTTTTCAGTTTTACTTTATTTTTTGTTTTCCTATTATTCTCAAAACCAAATTTTAAAAAATCACTTCATGTAGCATACTAATACACAAAGATAAAGCTACAGTGGAATTTTTCTGTAGTGTAGTGGGCTTGTATATGTCACCCAACTCCCAGTGACTTTGGGCAATTGTGTGTGTTTTTTTAGGTGTTTAACAAACAAAACAGATGACAGAGGTAACAAATCCAGTCAAGAGCAAAGAGGAAAAAGGAAAGACTTCAGTCATGCTGGCCAAAGGCAACAACTTCAGGGCCCTTTGAAATCACAGTACTGTGGGGCTGTTTGAACCTCATTCCAGAGGGCAGGACTGCTGCAGAAAAGGCACACCTCCTGTGTCCTGAGAGATAGCATTGTTTAAATGGTGGAACCTGGAGCATGCTCTCCATGCCAGATTGGATTGGCCAAGCAGACACTAGAGAGAGAGATAATCCCTTAAGTATCCAAGATCTATGTCATATAGGGCTTTACAGGTAGTGACCAGCTTCTTGAATGTACTCAGAATCTGGCTGCAATGCAGTAGGCAAGCATGAGGTGACCAGGGCATGATTGACTGTCTGATGTCTTTACATCCAGAAATTTCCCTTAGGAAGAAAAAAAAATCTGTAATGTGTCCATACCTTCAGTGGAGTAACTTTTGGGTGTCCAAAACATGATCTGACCATCTCTGCCCTTTGTTGTCACATTCTCGT